TCCAATACTCCCTTCTCCAGGCACCCCATTTCCCTTCTCCTGGGGCTGCTCCTGCCTGGCCCCATCTCCACTTGGCTAATTCCCCCTGTGGCCCCTGTATTGAACTGTTGTGTTGTCCATTTCCCTGTGACAAGGGCTCTGGTTACAGAGTTATTGATTGGTTTTCATGCAGACAGATGGGCCTTTCCCGAGCTCCCATCGAAATCCCTGGCTGTATGGGCTGATTGTTGCCTCTCGGGGTGTAGGATTGCACTGGAGACCACCCTCCACGCAACCTCCTTGGCCCAGGCTGTGGATGGTAATAAATGAAGGCAGCTTGAGCAATAATAAAAGCAATTGAGTAGGTTACCTGTGCAGACACAAGATTTATGCCTCTTCATTTTGATGTGATTGTTTTATTGAGTTCTCAGAATAGTTGAGACACCATTTATTTGTTTGTTTGTTTGTTTAAGGGTTTCCCTCTCTTTTCTTCTTTGCATAAGCCTCCAAAAACCACCTGGAGCTTTCATGAGGGACAACCCCTCCTGTCTGTCTCTTCCCAATAGTTGCCACCTGAGGTAAGAACTCAGGGCAACCAGCCATTGCTCTCACCTGAAAGCCATTTTGTGGCCTGAACGCCCACTCTGAGCCAATTAACAGAGAAACAGACCAATATGACTGCTGGCCAAGAAGTCAAAAATAATCAAGGGAACAAAAATGGCTTTTCAGGAGGACAACTCCATTTCTTATTTTAAGAAATAAGACCAACAGTCATGCCTCTTTCACATGTTATTCTAATGATGGGTGACCTCAGCACCAGGAGACCCTCTCTGGAGAGGGAGAAGTAAGCAAAACTTCTCAGACAGATAATGCCACCTGCGTTTGCTATCTGCAGCCCAGTTTCGTAGGCCTGGGGCCACAGAAGGCAAATTCTCTGTCCTTATTTCTCACATTCCTCTGTGGGAAGAAATCTTCTTGGTGCATCAACTTGCCTTGGCTCTTTGCCATGAGACCAACAGCCCTAACCACAAAACAGCCGCAGGGGTATAGAGATGTGGCAGAAAATGCTGCCCCTCTGGCCCAGCTTTGTGTCACACCAGGTCCAAGAGTCAAACCAGCAATGTTCTAGAACCTGAAGTTCAAAAAGGGAGACACAGACCCTAGCCCTGAACACGTCCTCAGCATTCCCTTGGCTAGAGTGGCTCCCAGCTTATTTGGAAAGGTCTCTGAGTGAACAGTTGGTAGACCACTGTCATCCCACTGCCAGAGCTCTGAGGAAGATTTGTGAATGAATTCTTCAATAGCACTGGGGCTGCAGCCTTCTTGAAGCCAGTGCTGCCCCTTCTTGGAAAATGAATGTGCTCACTTAGAGCCAAATAGGCTAGGAGAGACTGTAGGTGATCAGGGAGAAATGGACTCTGGAAGCGTCCACTCCGAAGATCCAGGGCAAGGAGTGCCCTGATCCCAAAGAGCGTAGGGCAGGCTGAAAAAGTTAAGAGAGTGATGGCCTTCTCGTCAGCTCATTCCAAGAGAGTGCCCTGAAGGGATCTTCAGTGACCCCAAAATCTATCTGGAGTGTATGCCTGTTCTTTCAAAGGCTCTCTATTCTCTGTTCAGAGCAACAGCCAAACCAGAAGACTTTGGCATATAATCAGGAAAATCCTTCCTGCTTAGTCAATTGCTCTGGGATGTAACTAGGTGACTTTTCCCCTTTCAGGAGCAGAGATCTCTCTCCATCTTTTCCCCCCTGCAGGCCATCTCCCACACCAGGTTTCAATTTCAAGTCACCTGTTTATAAGCACCTGCCCTCTACAAAGGTAATGTACAAGGTGAAGAACTGTCAACTCCATGCTCAGTTATCGGTCACCCAATATTGAGAATGATTCAGATAAATTCCACATGTTAAGCAATCCAGTCAACCTTCTGGATTTTTGACAGTGGTTTCTAGGGGGTGAGAGTAGAGTGGGAGGCCTCCCTGACCTACTCTGTTGGCTTGGAGAGGTATTTCTATGAGGATTCGCCAATAGAGAATATACGTTGACTGTCCAAACCCTTATTACAACAGGATCAGAGAAAGCCAAACCATTTTTAAAGCATGAAAAGCAATTTAGTTTATAACTATAACAGCATATTTTAAGTGCTGCAACAGCATCTGTTTTGAAGAGAAGATGAAAAAACTCATGGTTTGGCTTAGGTGGGTGAGCATGTGTAGACTTCCTTTCTTGCCAAACACCGGCACAAGCACACCCTTACTCATAAGGGTTATAAAGTACCCAATATATGTGGGTAAAGCTCTCAACTCAAGAACCGCCCACTCCCCAGTGCACCACACTTTCTGCACTGGGGAAAATCTTTAGGCTCTTCCCACAGCGAGTGAGAATTCACAAGCTTCCTAGCATTACCAGCAGAAACACCTGACTTTATCAGGCTTTAAGGTGAAACAACACATCTCACATAACCCCTCCCCACTCAGAGAAAAGCACCTACAGGGATGAAGCTAAGGGCATGGACCCCAGATGCATGCCTCCAGCCCTGACTCGGCAGCACACTGGGAAGCCCTCAGAATTCCTTCCAAAATATGAACCATGGTAGGATTCTGTCCCAAAACAAAATTGGGAATACTCTGACTGTTGACAAAGCAAATCACCGGGAAATCTAACTATGGACCCAGGGCTGTCTGCCCATGCTGTCAGTGGCTT